TACTACTACTAGTAACTTATCTTCAAAGGAAAGAAGATAATTCTTAGAAAACTCTAATATCAGTCCCTGATCCTCCAATGAGTCCTGCACAGGCAGAGTCCTGCATACCCTTCCTGCCCTCCCCACCCCTAGTCCCCCCAGGCCCCTGAAGTCAGTAATACACTGTTAGGAGCAGAGTTCATCCCTGTGAAATCCACTGCAGGTTCAAGTATGTCCTGCTTCCATCTCCTCTCCTCCAGCCACTCACCAAATACCTCATACCTTATCACGATGCACCTAATTTAAGTTCCTTATATGCTCTGGTCTCCAACGTACCCCATTTTACCTTGGCAAGGCTCAGAGCGAGTTCTTTGGTCCACCACTCAGTTGATTGTGGCAAGCATTGCAGAAGCCCTTTGAGAAGCCTGGAACGAAGCAGGACAGCACTGCACCTGCCCAATGAGGGGATGCGGTGGAGGGACGCTCACCCTGCCGCTGCTGCACAAGGCTTGGGTTCCCAGCTGCATCAGTGACTTTGTCGGCTAGTGACAAAAGAGATCTTGTGTCAGGCATGCTTCATCTGAGATAGCACGAACAAGGTCAGACCAATTGCTGCGTGACTCCACCTGTTTAATGCAAAGTTTCAAACAGGGTGTTATTGTCATCCATCGGTAATTATTTTTAAAGCTAAAAAGTACTGGGAAGTGTCATATAAACACTGAACAAACACACAGCCTTTCAGATCAGGAACAAGGCTCTTGCCATGGGCTGCTCATCTTGGTGTGATGCTGAGTTGGGATTCAAGTGACTTGGCATCACACCAGAAGGCTGTAGCAGAACCCCAATCTTTTGGGTCCTACTCCAGAGTTTTAATAGCAAAATGATCCTTCCTGGAGCTGATCCCTGCCTTAAATAATTTACAGTCTTAAGCAAAATTTTCAAATTTGTATTTGATAGTTAAGTCTACCATTGCAACATCAAGACACAAACAAGGTGTTGTGGGATCAGCTAGCATATATGTTTAAGCTGTTACCTGAGAAAAGGCAGAAAGAAGAGAGAAGGATGAAAAATAGTAAAAAACCTAAATTGCTCAGTTTGTCATCTGTTATTTGTTCATCTTGTAGTTCTCTTGTCTATAATTTTGCTAGTGGATGAATTACCTGACTTTTCTTTGAAAAGATGACAGAAATGCTTTTAAACAGGGGAGAATAGTTCCTTGGGCAGATTGTCACCACATTCGATCACCATGAATCTTCATAATTAAATTGTATTAATTGCAGTAATTTTAGTTTTTAGTGTTTTGATAATGATGTCTTTTCAAGTAGTACTATAGTGTTGTCATACTATGATGTTAACATTTCTGATCAGGCTTTCCTAGAAACCTTTGTTCCTGTATGTAGACACAAATGAGAAACTAGCAGCTCAACATTTTAATGTTAAACCCTTTAAGCATATTGGGTCACTACTGGCACCTCCTAAGCCGAGGGTGTACAGAAAGGGGAGACTCCCTTTTGGTATAATCCTTTCCACTGAGTGATGACTTATCTCATATCCAGCACATACAATTATGAACTGGGTTAAAGTGATTTTTAAGAGTGCTAGGTACAAAAACATTTGCAGGCTTTTTTTTTTTTTTTTTTCTTTTGCTTAGCTAGCCCTGAAAGGTTAATTGCTTCAGATACAGATTGTAGAAGCAAATAGATCTTCCATCTCTGTGCTCCGTAATCCTAGCAGAAAATTAAGAAAGAAGGTTAGTATGTAGCTCAGGGAGTTTGTTTTTTTCATTTCTTCAGGACTAAGTTAGTCCAGCAAAGTGTTGAATTAGTCACATTAAAATTCATTTGAGTTATCTTCTGCTCACATAATTAAAGACTGTTCTTAGGGTGCAAATTGGTCAGTTAACCAGTCACCAATAGAATTCAGCAAACAAAAATCCTGACCAGGTGTTTGGAAGAAATTGTTAAAAGAAACACTCAAAAAAAAAAATCTGCTTCCAAGTTATCCTAGGTCATCCTGGCCAAAACTGGATTCAGTGATAGTTACAGGTGCTCAGAGCTGTGATACTACAGTATACGGTATACTCAGACCTGGTGATCAGGTGCTCAGATCTGTGATACAGTATCACATTCAAAAGGAGTGGATGCTTGTTTTTGTATATGTTTAAGCATTTATAGACAAACTCAGAAAGGCTGATTCACTAGAATTTAAGGGCCCCACAGAAAATTAGTGTCTAATCTACATTACCTGCTTCTGATTTAATTCTATCATCATATATAGTATTGGACCAAAACCTCACTTCTTTCTATCCTCACAATTTCTTCCCACTTCAGAAGGAGAGTTTACTGCAGAAGCAGGTCACTCAAACTTTTAAATTAACCTAGTTGACTCAGTAAATTATTCTTGTTAATTTGAATTCATAGATTTTGTCTATAGAGAGTATTTTGGTGTATACGCTCTCTGGGGAACTCAAGAAATCAGAGTCACCCATTACATTAAGAAGCCTTTCTGGAACCTGGTATTATAGTCCCAAACCATACCTCAACCCTCCACTGCAACATGGACTTCAGCAGCAGTCTGGTGGTGAAGATTTCAGATCACTTAGAAGATTCAGTGACTTTGCCAAGTTAAAATTAGAATGACAAGATATTTAAGGGCTTTTGATTTTACCTATGATGAGAGCATCATTGTCTCACATCCTAGATGCGAACATGTACTATGCAATTCTTATAAATCATCATTCTAGCTAGTATTGAGCATTAATTGGAGCTTAACTTCTCTAGGCTTTTCTCAGAACACGAAGTGATTATTTAGTGACGTTCATGCTGCCTTTCAGCAGTCAGCAAGACACCACAGCTCTCCTCCAGTGTTTAAGACAAGGTTAGTGGGAGAGCAAGGCATCTTCATATTTGTAATGAATTAGTCAGAGGATTTACAAGCACGAAATGGGTTTTCTATGCCAGTTTACTAATACCAGGAAAGGTCATAGCTCAGCAGCATTGTTAGATGTCAGCACTTCTGTGTCAGCATCTAGAAAACTTCTCACTTTAACGGGGTTATTTGGGGTCCATGCAGGAAGTAGCAAGCCACAAAGTGCTGATTCTCTGTGCCTTAGAATTTCTTGAGAATTTCTCTTCCATGAACTTGTCCAAGCTGCCCCTGAACTCATGCACACTTCTAGCACACCCAGCATCCCTTATCAAACAGCTGCACATTGTAATTATGCAACTGTGAGAAGAATAATCTCCTTTCATTTGTCTTGAGATGTGCAACTGCCAGATTCATTTCAGGCCCCCGTTACTAGTGTGGAAGAAAATGAACAAGTCATTTTGTATTTGCCTTCTCCATGATCCTCTTCATTTTATAGACCACATTCACACATCTCTTTTCCAGGCTGACTTCTGTTTTTCCCTTATATGCCAGAGGAGGTGGGAAAATGACTGCTTATTCCATTCGGCTGGAGTAGATGAACATTACTCTTTTGCCCTCTGTTACCAAAACCAGTAAGGAAAATTCCTTCTGTCCTGAAGTTTTGTCAATGAATGTGTGTTTTCTTGAGGGATGAAGTGGCCAAAGGTGGAAGAAGGTTCTTTCTGTAGCTCAAAGACAGCTTTGTGCAGTCTCTCCTAAAAGCTCCCTTCTATAGCAACATCTGTAAGAAAGGAACTTAATGTGATGAGGTACAGTGCATATAATATGTTATGAAAAAGAATAGACTAATAGGGATAAATCATCTAAGTTATTGTGCAGGGCTGTTTGTTATTTTTTCTCTTTTTGTCCTTTAATTGTAATTGCACCCACTTGTCATGTCTTAACCTGGAGAGCAAACTTTCTGGGCAGGGACTTACCTACCTACCTCTGCACATTGTGGGGCATGTAACTGAGTTTTGGGTAGTGTATGAATCTTTTTTATTATAAATGGTGACAGTAATGTAAAGGTCACCTTTTCCAGCACATCAGCTGTAAGGCCTTCCCTAATGAAGTAACACTTTTGAATAAAAAACCTTAAATACCAGCAAGTATTTTTCTACTCTTTCCAGTCTGCTTGGCTGCTGAAATAGATATGAAGGGATTATTATTCTTTTTATCTGCTGTTCCCTCACTATGATCCAGCTTCTAATACTTTTATTGATGCCAATCCCAATGGAATCACTCATAGAATATCATACTTCTTAGCTAAAGAGAGCACCAAATGTTAAGTTCTACTTGCTTTGTATTTTAATACCATTTAAACTAACAGCTGTTGTGTGACTTACTTGTACCTCTCATGGTATTTTTCTTGTACTTTTTGAGGTGAGCCTGGAGATACCATGAAATTTGGTCTGTAATGCTCCTGACTACATTTTATCCCAGTAATTAAAATAGAGTGAAGAAGTAGTTTAAGAGCATTGGCTCCTATCTGCTCTCCTCATAGCAATATGAATTTTCAAGGATGTGAGTGTGTAATTAGCCATCCTTTATTCACTGCTTACCTCTCTGTTTACTAGCCTTCCGGCTCGGTTAACTATAACACTTACTGGCAATCCTAAGAAGATGGGTGAGGAATGATTAAACTTCGCAAAGAATACTGCAGGAAATGTTCCCCTGAGCTTCATCTGGCCTTCTACTGTCTAAATCAAGAAGTGCTGTCTAGTCTGGTCTGTCCTGGACATATCTGGTATATCTGAGTAGGTCTGAAACCTCCCACTACCATGCTACAAAGTTATTTAACTCGGTGTCAGCTTAGAGCTCCTAGAAAACTGGAGATCCATATCCTGTCGATGTACGAGAGCCAAGATAAGCATCCTCTTTCAGCCCTAGTACTGTTTAACTTTCATTTGGCAAAATTCAGTAACACCAACTTTAGACTGGAAAAAATGGGGGGAAAAAATCGTATTTGTACTGAGCTTCAGTTTGATAAAATATCCCTCTCCTTGGAACAGTTTAGAGAAGAAAAGAATTCAAACAGTATTAGTGAGTTCAAGCCTTCAAGCTTGAAGACATGTATTCTATTATTTTCACATAATAATGGTGCAATTGCTAGTAACCATCTGATTGGTAATAGATCATGCTTGTCTCTACAGCAGCTACTTGCAAATTGTAAGAGTCTAGGCTATGTATTTGAAACAGATACAGTAGGTCAGAGTCACTGATTGGATTCAATAGAGTTAGACTGATTTACACCAGGTAAGATCTGAAATTTGTGTCTTAATAAACAAAATAAATTTATTACTGCAGTTATGTCTCCGTTTGTGTTAAACAGAATTCCAAGTGAGCTAGCTTTTCATCATTTCTATGATAAAACACTCTTGTGCTTGATGCATATTCTGAGGACAGCACTGAATTTAAAAGTACAAAATAGGAAACTGAAGAATGTGATATAAATAGAAAATTTTAAATCTCCTCCAGCAAGGTATTTTAAGGACTACAGACACTATGTATGTTGATCTAAATTTCAAGGTGTAAATTAGTTAACTACAATGCAAAAAAATGAAAGAAATAAGTAAAACTTTGGACTTTTTCCTAGCCAATTGCCATTTCTTTTTTTCTCTCATCAGCCATCTAGCACGAAATTATTGGTTCTGTACTTCTGAAAA